ATGCGCGCGCTAGTGCTGGCGGTGCTGGTGGCGGCGTCGGCGGCGTACGGCCCGCCCTCCAAAAACAACAACAACAACAATCCCTTCACAAGGAACAACTGCGGCTCCGGCGGGTGTGGGCAGGTCGCCTCCAGCGGCTGCTCGAGCGGCTGCTCCGGCGGTCAGCGCTTCACGAAGCAGACGTTCAGCTGCGGCGGTAGCGGCTGCGGCGGGTGCACGGGCAGCGGCTGCGTCCAGCCGCCCCTGAGTGTGTCGGGCCAGTACTGGTGGGAGGGAGACAACTCGCCCTTCAAAGTGCCGCCCGGACACCACGTGACCAGCGTAGACAACTCGTGCGGAGGCACCGGCTGCACCACCTCCATCACCACCTGCGGGGGCTCCGGCTGCCCTCCGGCCCAGTCACTCCCACAGCCGCCCCAGCCGCAGAGGCCCACGTTCAACCCGGTCCCGCAAGCGCCGCAGCCGCAGAGGCCCTCGTTCAACCCGGTGCCGCAAGCGCCGCAGCCGCAGAGGCCCTCGTTCAACCCGGTGCCGCAAGCGCCGCAGCCCGCCCGCCCGCCGCGGCCTGTGAGCGACAACAACCTGGTGATGCCGCCCATGGGCATCTGCCCCGCCACATTTGTGTGCGTGCACTGGCAGCTGTGTCGCGACGGCTTCGTCATCACGGACGGCACCGGCGAGATCAACAAGCAGATCAAGGAGATCCCGGTGCAGGTGAGTCCCACTCTCTCCGCTGCATCGTTCGCGGGCTCGTAGACCTCGTAGTTAGTGCACAGCCGACAGACGCAGTTCAGCTGCAGAAGGAAAGGCGACGAGGTCGTGATCGCGGTTTGCTTTCTGTGAAATTTGTTTTCTTCTTCCGCTCGCCGTCCTTACTCATTTCCCTTTCCATTTGCAGGTATCGTCGAGGTACCGCAGCTGCGGCACGAACATGGTGTGCTGCGGCGTGCCCTCCTTCAGCGCGCCCCCCGTGCAGAACCCCCCCGGCGCACCCCGCCCCCTCCCGGCCAGCCCCGCCCCCCAGGCCCCCCCCAGCTTCCAGCAGCCTCCCGCCCCCCTGCCGACGCAGCGCCCCCTCCCGCGCCCGACGGCCCGCCCTCAGCTGCGCCCCCCCACGTCCCGCCCTTCGTCGGGAGGCTACGCGAGCCCCACCGTGCCCCAGAACCCCCTGAGGCCGGCGCCGCAGCCGCCCGCCCGCCCGCCGAGGCCCGCGCCCAACGCCAACAACGGCTTCAACTCGCAGCCCACCATCGTGAACCAGGCCGGCCCCGTGCCGCCCGCGCAGACCGGCTACAACCGCCCCAGCCCGCAGCCCAACCGCCCGCGCCCGCAGCCCAACGTGCCCATCAGCAACCCGATCGGCCTGGTGTCTCCGCCCAGCCCGCAGCCCATGGGCATGATGGGAGGCATGATGGGCGGCATGATGCCCATGGTGGGCGGGACGTGCAGCGCCGGCACCTACTGCGTCGCCCCCAACCAGTGCAACCCCTACACCGGCTTCATCATCACGGACCCGACGCAGCTGATGGCGGTCTGGCCGGACGCGCCCACGGTGCCGCTCCTGGTGGGTGTGGGGGACAGGGGGGTGAACAGATAGATTGATGGATAGACTCACACACATACGCATACACACACATATATATACAGTGTGAATGTATATATAGTGTGTGTGTGTGTGTGTGTTTATGTGTATATATATATATATATATATATATATATATATATATATATATATATATATATATATATATATATATATATATATATAATATATATATATATATATATATATATATATATATATATATATATATATATATATATATATATACATATATATGTATATATATTTGCGTGTGTGTGTGTCTGTGTGTGTTTATGCATTTATTTTGATAACCGTTTACCCATTTGTTAAGCCATTCATTCAACTACCTATTAAAACATCATATTAACTAAATTCTCAATTCCTAGTACGGATGACACATGTAGTTATACCATCAGCTAATATAACATATCATTAATACCATTCTCGATTTTCTCCCTCAGCCATGCTTCGTTCCCGGCGCTGGACAAATCCAAGATGGCGTCTGCTGTCAACAAGCCCACCCTCGAGCCGGAGGTCTTGATTAAACTACGCCTCCTTCTCCTGCTGCCACGCCCCCCTGCCTTCCTGCCACGCCCACCTGTTATCCTGCCACGCCCCCCCTGCCCCTCTCAGCTCCACGCTCTTGAAATACCAAGAGGAATATCCGATTATTTCCGTTATTCTAGTGACCTGTGTTTCTGTGTATTTCTTATTTTCTTTGCGTTTCCATTTATCCGATTTGCTTTGTTTCTCTTTCTCCGACATTTCCGTGGCGAGAACTGCATGTGAAGAGAGAAAGAGATTTTGATTTTTTTAATCATTCTGTTTTGTTATTATCAAGATATTTAGATTTTTTTTTACGATTTTTTATTCTTTATCTTACACATGTGGCATTTTATCAATATTTTGAATTAATTTATAAATAGAAGAATATATATAACATCAAAGGTAAAAGAGAAAAGTCATAAAAATTATTTAAAAAAATAGTGATAAGCGTAATTAAGATTTGAAACGAAAATCAATAATTCTCGATTGAAAATATCAGTAGATAAATAGATGGATATATAAAGAAGAGAAATCAAATATTCTACGAAAGTTATATATTATCTTCAGAAATTTTATTTAACTTTTTTATAAGGAAGTTATCGGAATATTTTTTTGTTTTTTTCTTTTGATAGAATTTACTAGACAAGAATAAATTCGGGCATTTTAGTGTTGTAGATTTTTTTTTAAGATATTATAGTCTCTCAATGGAAAAAAAATCATAATATTTTCTCCTTGTTTCAAGTTACAGACCTTCAGGGAAATATTTATTTAAAAAGATATCTCTCCCGAAAAAAAAATTAACGATTTCATAAAAAGGAGTCACATCTTGGTATAAAAAAATTCCTTTAGATTTTAGACAGACAAAAAAAATATCTGTAAAATCAATAATAGTTATAGATTTTTCTCGAGGATCTGTTAGCCTTAAGGACATTGATTGTGTGTATATATATAATCTTAAACTATATAGAATCTATTTTATTACTATCAAATTTTTCAAGCATTGGTCAAGGATATGTTACTCGCTTTTAAATGTTATTCTCAAAGCATCCTGAGTTTCAACATATTTTTTTTTTCTCTCGTGAAATAAAACTCTATTCTACCATATTATTTATGATTAATACTTTCAGGTGAACAAATAAACAGTCTGTATGGTTGATGGAGGTTTTATTTATTCCCAATTTTGATGATGATGGTGATGATGATGATAATGATGATGATGATGAGGATGATGATAGAGATAATGGTAATAATATTGATAAAATAACAATGATGATAACTATCATAATAGTAATGGCAATGGTAATGATAATAATAACAATAATAATAATGATAATGATAATAATGACGATAATGATGACAATAATGATAATGATAACATTAATAATAACAATGATAATAATAACAAAAACAATAACATTAACAATAATAATAATAATGATGATGATGATGGCTTTGATAATGATGATGATGATGATGATGATGATGATAATGATGATGATGATAATGATGATGGTGATGATGATGATGATAATAATGATGATGGTGATGATGATGATGATGATGATAATGATAATGATAATGATGATGATGATGATGATGATGATGATGATGATGATGATGATGATGATAATAATGATAATAATAAATAATAATAATGATAATAATAATAACAATAAAAATATGATAATAATGATGTTGATCTTGAGGAGGATAATAATGATGATAATAATTATTGTTGTTATGATAATAAGGATAATTAAATAATCCTAATGAAAATAATGATAATTGATAGCAACGACAGTAATAATGATGATAATAATAATAATTATAACAATATCAAACATTATTATCATTTTCATTATTAGTATTATTATTATTATTATCATTATTATCAATTGTATAATTATCATTATAATTAATATTATTTCTAGCATCATCATAGTAATAATGATAATAGCAATAACAATAATGATGATAATAATAATACTGATAACAATGATAATGATGGAAATAATAATAACAAAAATAATGCTGATAATGATAGTAATAGAAAAAAAATGTTAATGATGATGATGATGATGATGATGATGATGATGATGATGATGATGATGACGATGATAGAAATAATAAAAATGATGATAACATTAGTAATGATTATTAATATTATATTGATAACAATGACGACAACAATAATAATAATGAGTGGTAATAATAATTATGATAACAACAACAATAATGATGAAAATAATAAAACCACGTATCTCACAAACCATTATCATTGGATAACTCCTTGCACACCAATTTCAATATAAGGGAATTTGAGGGAACAAAAAGGTAATAATGATTATGAGCAATTCCTTCTGCATGATTTGCATATATGTTCGATGCTCTTGAGACATGTTCCACTCACCCAGGCATTAACATGTAAAGTACATCTTCACCTCGATAGAAGTACATAGATAAAAGATACTTATTTTCTACGGTAGATTGAGTATGTTTTAAGTATATGGTATAGGAGCTGGTAACTTACCTATGGCCATCTTACAAGGCTGAAATAAAGCTAAAAATAAGGATGTTTGAATTTGCATCATTTGCTTATTTTAAAAAAACGAAATAAACATGTAAGCATTATCATATATTTCTCTTGCGTCAGTTACAATATAACTAAAGCATATATATTGAATTATGTAAATCGCGTTATATATGGGAGACCAGTTATAAAAGAAGGGTAAAATGGACATTTTATTCATTTAAAAAATAACATGATATATGTATTATATTTAAAAGATCAAAATATGGTTTTACTGTGGAAGATCAGAGCGCTTATAATGTTCTTATTAAAATTTCGATAACATTAAAGACAATGATATAACGCAAAAGACCCTTTCCAAAAGTCGAGAAAAAGCTTAAACAGGTGGGATAGGTAGGGTTAATAACCGACTCCTTGGTGGCTAAGCATTTATAGAGCCATCTATGTGTAAATACAATAGATAGACTTGAATTACATCGGGCATGGCATGTATTCTTGCCATACGTGGCGATTGGGTTAACATGACAACTTGTCTGTGTGTTAGGAACTTCATGCTTGTAAAGTTTGGTTTTAAGAAATATTCGTTGTTTGTTGTTATGGTCAGATTACATTATTTCCTTTAAGTTTTCCTGAATTGTTCACAAATATGTAGGTTTGTTAAGTTCAATAGAAGAAATTAAGTTACTATACTAACGGGTTATCGACTTACGAGCTTAAAAATATTCAGCTGCTTTTCTCATAATGTACAGTATATCTATGTGTCTCTGGTTTGTAAATGGTCTAATAATCATCTTATATTTCTTGAATTAACTGAAGTACTGGACCTCATATCTTATCTAGATAACTCATTTTTTTAACAAATTGATTTTCCAATTGCATCAGAGTGTTATTTCTTTACTCATGCAACAGTCTTTCTTATATAATAGAAATCTTGTACTGAACTGCAAGACAAGAAAGTGCTAGATGTTTTTTTACGGGGAAAATTATCATTATCTTGAGCAAAATTGGCTAAAAAGAAGACACAAATGATAAATACTAAAAAATAAAGAGGTTTCCCCCTAAGTTTACGTTTTCTCTTAATTCTTTATTTAATATCAAAGAAAACTAATTGTAAAGAGGGGTAGCTATAAAATTATTAATAGGGGCCACCACTTTTGCGCCATAAAATTAATTAGAGGTAATCACCATTATCCTTATTGTGGCTTATACATCAGAATCAAGAAGTACCACTTAGAACTTTAAATAGTCCTAGAAATGTCAAGATTAAACACATCACATTTCCCATTGCCGTTCCTTTGTTTAAAATTGAACGTACTTCTAAAACAAATTCTCATGCTATCCAATCGGCTCCTATTCCATAATGTATCTAAAAGGAAGTTTAAGCTCCTCACTCACATAAGTCCGTTAAAGAAAAACCATAATTGAAGACTAATAAACACACCGCCCATGCTTTCTTTTCACACAGGAAAAGGAACATATTGCTACGTATGCCCATGTTGGTACTTTTGGATGTGCCAATTGGTACGACTTTCGCGAAAATGTTGAAGTTTCTGATACTATACCATATTTATTTCCGCGTTACACACAAACTAAGGAGATAATTCCTTAACGAAATGGAAATATTGCAACAGACCCGTGTATAGTCTCGGTTACACATCTATAATACAGGGGAAAGACGTTGTATGTTGTACCGAGGAAGGAAGCCTTTTTCAGTCAGTCAGTCAGTCAGTCTGTTTCAGTCTCGCGATAAAGAATCACGTCTTCCTATTAGTGCGCTGTTAGTGATGTGAAATATCGCGTTCTTGCTGCGGTAATAGTGTGTGTGTGCCGGGCAGCAGCGTAGAGCCTTGTGGGAGAGCGAGAGAGCAAATTTCTGTTATTTGGTGTGAACTGTACCTCTTGGCAACTCTCCCAGCAACTAATGGATAAGAATAAATGAAAATTATGAAAATAAATGGAAAAGAATTAGGGCGATATTGGAGAGAGGACTAAGTTGCAAGATGATATTTCAGAATGTCTTATGTATTTTCCTTTCAATACACACAAGAGTTTCTTGGAAAGAATTCATATCATGTGCAATATAAACGGTATTGTTTCTAAATCTAATTGTTTTTCATCAGCCATTGGGGTACGTGATGGGTAATAGGAAATATCACAAGGCCAAAAAATATGGACATCATTTATACATACTATTACTAAAACTTCATGCTGGTGCGTTTGTTTCGTCAGATATGTAGCCTAGTTAGTGAGATGCTTTTCTCTTGAATGTGTATTTTAGATAATGAAAGAATTTGTTTTGTAGATATATAGCCTAGTCTGGTTAGATTTTTTTGTATCTTATAGCCTAGTAGGGGCAGTGACGTAGATATGAAATTTTATAGTGGGGGGGGGCGACAAATGCAGATTTTCCGACAAAAATATTTTCGTTTCTTCATGATTACTTTCCAACAAGATTAGCAATTTTCCTACAAAATGGCAGTTTAGCTCTAGAGGGGGGTTTTCCGCGTCCCCCCCCCCGACCCCCCTCTATCTACGCCACTGAGTAAGGGCAGTAAAATAGTTTATTCATGTGAAACCCTTCTCAGTTTGTTTAAATAGTATACATTTGCGTGCATACTAAGTACTTTGTTAAAGGTTTGTAGTGTGCTATGAATTATTTATTGGTCATAAAGTAAGACTGTGTTTGTTAGCGTGAAGTGTAGATAAAGGACTGCCATTTATTGTCAAACCTGACACCAGAAGAGGTATTTTTATTTTCTTATGGTGCAGATAAATAATATTGTAGAATCAAGCACTTAATTAAACAAAGCGATCTTCAGAATGTGTTTAGAATGTGTATACATTTATTTTTTCGTAATGAACATATCAATAATTGTTTAATTTATAGTCGCCCATTTATATTACTTCCTTAAAATTAGAAGAAAAAAAACTCTGGTTGAATGCATTTTTCAAGCACTGCCAAGCTTAAGCAGAAAGTTAAAAAAAAAAACATATCCACGACATCGTCAGCCACACCTTCAGGCTACAGACTCGTCTCCTGCAGCAGTATGAGGCTATTTTCACCGCAAAAAAGTCTACATAGGCAGAATGAGACTATTTTCACCGCAAAAAAAGTCTACATAGGCAGAATGAGACTATTTTCACCGCAAAAAAAGTCTACATAGGCAGAATGAGGCTATTTTTATCAGATAATTACACAGTGATGTTACACAAAATAAATTACAAAATAATACAATAATTACGCAATGTTGCACACTTCAGCGAGGTGGTGGAAAATATAAATTAGAAGATAAAAGCTAGACAGAAATGTTACATATTAGATAACCGTTGAACTTTGCGTGTGTGTTTAAGTGTATGTACTTGGCAAATAAACGTATATTTTGGTTTGAAATATTTGCAAATGTATCTTTTTGTTTGAAATTATATATTCCCTATTACGAACAGAAAACTAAAAAAAAAATCGCATAGATATCCTATTTGATTACCAATTCGACAAGTAATGTTTCATCAGGTTTTAAGGTTGTTCTGTGACGAGCCAATATTATGTCTAG